TTAGTAAGGGTCTACTTCAGAGCATGCGAGTCAAGCAGGTTCATATTATTCCACATCCTTTTAATACTGAAACAAACTCTGGTAGGGATTTACAATATCGGAATTTTTTTCTAAAGTGTTTTTCCACTTTTACAGCCAAATTGGGATAAGAAACATTTTAGATTTGTTATAGGTTTCTCATCTAGGCAACAAACAAAATGCTGCTTACATATTACTGGCTTCCTCTAAACTGAATTTGTCTCTGCTATACAAGGGGGTGGGGAGGTTACTGATAAGGAGGTCTGCCTTGTAGCACTGGCGGTCCCTGGTTTAGTTGAATGTTCTCCCGGTGCCTGAGTGGGTTTCCTCGGGGATCTCCAGTTTCCTCCCACACTCCAAGAGACATGCTGGAAGGTTAATTAGCCCCTGTCTAAATTGGCCCTGTATGCATGCGAGATAGGAACCTTGGATTGAGGGCAGGGACTTCCCTGAATGTAAAACTATGTAAAAGTATTGTGTAAATTGCCAGCGCTATATAAATACCTGTAATAAATAAAATCTGCCAGCACAGTATAGACAGGGTTAATTATCGTCAATCAGATTTGAAACTGTCGCCACAAAGGGTTACAGATATAGAAAAGTGGTAGGCCAGCCTTGGCACTCTAGCTGTTGTGGAACTACAAGTCCCATGAGGCACTGCAAGCTTCTCACAGAGGCATGATGAGATTTGCAGTTTGACCACAGCTGGAGTGCCAGGGTTCCCCACCCCTGATCTAGAAGCATTGTATGTTAATAACAGGAAGCTCAGAGAGTCTCTAGTCTTCCTATGGGGACAGCCTGAGATTTGTACACAGAGAAGCTCTGAAGACGGCCAAACTGACATCTAAAAAAAGGAAAATATTTTTTAAAGATTTAAGGTATCCTGTGTGAATGGGAACACAAAGATAGAGGGGTTTCCTCAAATTTGAATGCAAAAGTAGAAAATACACGGTAAAGGGCCAGTACACACTATAGTGGCAATAAGTGAGCAATGTTTTAGCAGGCGAGATGGTGTGAACGGGCCCTAAAAAGAAGACTGCTGGACCTTTAGGCCTCATTCTCACACACAACGCAAGCAAAATTGTATATTGCGTATATACGAGCGTATATGTGTGCACTATTTGCATTCCCAGAATGCATAATTCCTAGTGGAAAATGTAATGATCTGTAGGCAAATATGCTGCCCGGACGCATCTCGGTTCCATTCTGTTTTTGCGCATATATACGGCTCCATGCGGCTCTGTGTGTATGGAGCCATTTATTTGCATATGTTACTATACGCACGTATATGCACGGCAGTGTGAATGAGGCCTTACAAGTGATCACTGGAACATCTAAAACGGTCATATATGATGATTACTGTCCCCACATTGCTGGACACTGCACAGGTCTGAAATGTGCTCCTAGCTGTGCCGGGCTAATGAACTTAAAAGGACAACAATCTGGAGAGTAGAATACATTCTGCCCAATAGTTTGAGTCGCCATGGGACATCCCATCAGTCACATGATGGCTCTATACCGAGAGCTGAGCAATCGTGTGACCGATGATCACTCTGCAGGGATTCCCTCCTCACCTCTCTCCATTCCTCCAGCACTCATTGGAGGGACAGACAAGGGAGGGGGGCGGGCACAGTTCGCTCTGCCTCTCTAGAGTCAGACGGCAGGGTGGATCTAGACATGGTCAGAATCCTTCCCGGCTGTAGTGCGGCTCTGTGCCGTCAGCAGATAGCAGGAAATAGCCGGCTAGAATAGTAATCGTCCTCCTGTAACCCAAACGAGAACTAAAAAGCCAAAAAAAGGTTTTACTTCTCTTTTAACTCGACTGTATTAAAGCTGAAGTTGAATCTGTTTTTTTCCCCTCATCTACATGCTAAAGAATTCTCTTTAAAAAGGTGAACTGTAGGCAAAACCTTTTAGACGCTAGTCTGCAGCACACGTATGCATAGTCCTACTTGAATGTGATGCATTCTTTCCCCCTCGTATGTGTCTGAATCCAGAAATCTGTTGTGTCTCATGCTTGGACACATGCCGTGGCAATTTGCAATGTCAGGCCGTGCCTGTTTCCAAGCGAAATCATTGCAATATTATTACACGTGGGCACTTGGTTGTGGTGGAGTATTGTAATAGAAAATACCCATTGTGATTTAAAAATAGAGCAAGCGGCAGTATCACCTTCTGAATGCTGGGCAGCCACTGCTCTACCACTATCTGAACAGCGATCCACCATGAAGCCTGCCACCCCCCATCTGAACGGCGCCTTCAAAAACATGTTTTGCATTGTTAATAAAATGTTTCTAGCAGTCTGATGTTTGATGGTTCACTGAGGTGTGCAGTCTTTATCTGGGCTCATCTAAGTGAAAGAACATGTGCCTGCCAGCCGTCTGCTGGCTCTGTGGGATATACTTGTCTTGTTACGAATTAAACGCTTCCCAGCATTTCCACATGACAAGGAAACGACAAGAGGAGCCCTCCCAGAACCCATTGCAATGTACAAGACTATGATGACATCATAACCTTACACCGTGGCTACATTCTGAGAAAGGAAAAAAATGTTTTCATCTGTGACATTTTGGGAATACTGATATTGCACCCATAGCACACATCTAAGTAACGTTTTTCCATTGTCATCACATACCTATTTTAGGACCCACTGACATCACTGGATTTGTGTGCTTCCCTATGGAAGGCAGGAAGATCATGGCTGGTTGGAGGGCCCAGCAGTGTACACATCAATGACTATACAAATGAAGAGGTGCAGTTCTCTTGACACCTGGATAACAAGGTAATAAAAACATGTTTTTTTTTTTAGGATGACCTCATAGCAAGTCATAGATCACAATCTCTGTAAACCCTGTTCCAGCAGGAAGAGCTTAATACATAGTCGACAAATCACCAGCAGCTGTCTACACTAAACACTCGGGAATCTGGGGGAGTCTATCCTTTGGCACCATTTATTAAACCAGCTCTAATTGTGGGAAAAGAAAAAAAAAAATCTAAATGGTCTCTGTGCATGTACCCACAGGGCACAATAAGTGGCCAGGTTATGGATAAGTCAGGTCTATGGTCAGGTAACAGATGAAACCCTTTCAATAACAATTACTGTACTCCCCATGTGGCACAAGGTGCCACCGATACTAAAATGTTGGCACAGAACTTTCCTCAGGTCAGCCAAATCATCACTGCCTATCCAACCTCCTTCAAAAGTCTTTGGAAGAACTACAGGTATTGTATCCACATACAAATGTTGTCCAGCTTCCTGATTGGCCAGCTTCTCGACCAATTAGGAAGCCGGGCCAAATGTTTTGGACCTAAAAAGGCGCAACAGCAATTTAACAGAGGGGTTGCTACATGGGTAACTCTCCTATACCTTACAACTTACATCTTACTCTCTGGATTCCAGTAACCATGGTGCTCCACATGTGATCAGCTATGACACCAGCCATTTGAAGGCTTAAGGCCCCATTCACAAGGGTGGTCCAATAGGATTTGCCTGTTTCTTAAGCGGACCCAATGCCCAATGTTAGTCTATGGGAAACCGGTTCTAAACAGACAGGCATCAGTTTATACCCAGTTACCCCCCAACTCCAGCCAGGAAAAACAAACGGAACAGTGTTCGCTTCTACGGAGCTGATCATGCTGGATCAGGGGTAATCTGATGTAATGGACACACATTTGTTTACATCTGATTCCCCATAGACCAACATGGGGTCCAGTAATTCAGTTCTTTCCTCCATGGATTGCCACGCGGTCAGGAGTCACCTAGGTGTGCATCCGCAGTCATTGCGAGCACCCACGTGCTACAGGTATTTTTACATTTGCACCTAGGTTTGCACCGATCGCGCTGTGGGTGCCATTATTTTCTAATGGCACCCCAGTCGCATCGAGTATGCGTCGTGTATCGCGGAAAAAAGGTACTTATAACTTTTTTCTGCGATTGCCGTGCGGATGTTATGCCATTGAAATCAAAAGGGGCCGCGCAGCAATCACTGCCTGCATTGTGCAGGACCGCACGATCCCGGATCACGTAGGTCTGCACCGGGCCTCAAAGCAAGTTGTTTGGATGACATTAATGTTTTTGTTTGTTTTTTAAACTCTGAAATCGGGATAAACTTTTCTCCTATGAAACAACTGATGACCAATAAAAGGACATGCAAATAATAGAGCACACGGGTGGAATAAACACAAGGAAATCACGGCCAGGCCCTGACTGACACAGCGCCTTAATAGATTCTGCAGATATTAGGAAACTGCAGCTTGCCGGACAGTAACTTGGCATGAAGGAGGAAGATAAACAGACTGGGTCTGAATCAGTCTAAACATAATCCTACTTCTATAATAAGACAATGAGGCGGCAGCAGAATATAGGAGAAAGCTACGACTGTATGGAGGCGAGCAGAACATGATAAATAGCCCTATCATTTTTCTTCTTTCTGTAGGAAAGGTATTGGAAGGAGGAAATCTTTTGTACTTACTGAAAGCATTTAAAATGTTATGTTGAAGGAAAAGTGCGATTACAGATTTCCCACTGAAAACGGCCAATGAAGATCTCATGTTACTGCATTTAATATTGCCGTATCCCTGGCTCTGCCGGTGAGGTGTCCATTGAGCAGCTATTCAAGGCTGGAATGCTTCCTTCCATGTGTACGGAGGATCAGCTTACACAGAGCTCACAGACATCGGAACACATTCACGGGATAACACTCGATCAATTGCTGAACTGGTGACTTGGTAACTCTGCTCTGAAAACAATACGCTGCACCTCAGGATTTGCTGCTCAGGGAAACTACATGCGTTACTTCACCTAAAAGCAACACAATCCTTACTTTACATACAGCCTACAGGCATTGCAAGACAAGTTTTCTCCCTTATTGTTTACTAAGCAAGCTTCATAAATCTTCCAAGTCAATTATGTCTGAACAGATGAGCTACTTCAAACCTGCTGTGTAAACAAGTCGTTTCACAAGCCTCAGCCATTCAACTTCCCACAATCTGCTTCTGAAGGACTCCAAAAAATTTTTTTTTTTAAATCTTATCTTAAAAAGAGTTGCTTCACCAGTCATGCTTTTATTCCCCTTTAATCCATTTACATCACAAACTTGTAATGATTATTAAAATGCTGTCCGCGATTTTTAAAAATGATGCTTACTTTTATGAAGGCAGAAGTAAGGTTCCATTCACACCAGAAGCAGAAGTCAACGGAGGTCCATTATCTTGCAATCTCATACTCCATTCCAGGCATTGCTTTTTTTTTGTGTCAATCTTTATTTATTGTAAATAACATGTCCGGTGCCGATAAAGTGCTCAGTATTTTTTCACCTGCGTTGCATCTACATGCACTTTTTATGCATTGCATTTTTTTTTCAGCGCACTGCATCGCAGCAGCGTGAACTAGTCCCAAATCTATCCATACATTTTTGGGTTCCCGTTTGACATCCGTTGAAAAACAGATGCCAACAGATCTGGTGTGAATGGGGCCTAAGCTCCCTTGGAGCTTTCATCCATAATAGTGTTAGAATGCACAGGATATGAGCACATTATGGCAGACTTGCCTGCCAAAGCGATCCCCTCCAGCGCTGTGCTCCTCTTCTCTGGAGCTTCCATCTTCGGCCTGGTCCTCTTCTGTGAGTATTTAGCCTGTTGATTGGCCAGTCCTCGATGGCCTAACTCCTGCACATCCGTACGGGAGACTTTTCTTGGTGTGCTGGGTCTGTTCACCAAGCTGCACATGTGATTTAGCGTACAAAAAAGTAAAAAATAATTGCCGACAGCTAGAAAGCAGCTTTTGTGGCAGAAGAAATATGCACACCGTTTCTTCAGTCTTATAAACGGCCTTCTCTCTCACTCGCAGAGCGACAAGCTCAGCTGCTCACACTCTAGGGATGTCCAATACCGGTACAAGCATCGGGACCGATACAGGGCATTTTGACAAGTCTGCATGCCTAGGTGCTTGATTTTATACACCTGAGTCCAATGATTTGGAGGGAGACACACAAACACACCAAGGTGAATATGAAACCTAGGACAGAATCAGTACTATGGATTACTCCTGTAAAAGGGAAGGATCCTCAGCCTGCTGAATGTCTTAAGGTGCCCATACACTTTACAACCCTCACAAGACTTTTGTCTGGCGAGGGTTGTAAAGTACTTTTAAAAAATGTACGATCTGCCCATCTTGGACAGGCAGATCGTACTTGTGATCATCGCAAGCCCGCCCCCCTGAGGGGCAGGTTTGCGATGACTGCAATGAGGGGCAGGCTTTCGATGACTGCAAACGGCAGTGTGCGCGTGCGCACACCAGCCCGTTCGGCAATTGTCGAATAAGCAGGCCACTAACTCGCCGAGAATCGTACGATACCCGGCTTGTTCGAAGGAAGACGTGCGACCGTACAGTAGAAACGGTCGCACGCCTTCCATACTCTGCACGATTCTCATATGATCGCGGGATTTCCCGCAATTCTCGTACGAGAATCGTGCAGTGTATGGGCACCTTTAGGCTAGCCTGATCCAGACAACAATGATAACACAGGGTACGTCAGAGGCCAACAAACCATGGATAATGGATGAGCACAGATAGTGAAGGCACCCGACGGTTCTTTTGTTTTGTTTTTTTTTTCCCTCCGTTTATTGCATCAAAGAGAAAAGAACCAGCTGCTTCGCAATGACTGAAACGTAGGCTCTCACAATAGCGTACATTCAGCCTTATACCGGCCATAACAGAAAATGGCCAATTTAGGCAGCAATCTGATGGCCATGAGGATCCCATAGCACTGCTGGTATGGGCTCTTTGGAGTAAGTAGCAACTGGAGTGGTTACAAAACCTTGTACAATGTATAATGTTTACCATCTACAGGCATCTTCAGCCTCTCTTCATAGGCACAAGAGAACAGTCATACAATGTGCAGTCATCTCTTCCCTAATGGAACGGTTACAGACGCCTGAGGGCAGTGAGATTGTATCATGGAGTCTACAGTCTATATTCAGTACAGGTGACCTCAACTAATCCAGTATCCGTATCAAGAATTTATTTGTATTGGGGGTAGAGTAGGGATGGGTTAAAGCACTCTCATTATCTGTGTCCCTCTGCGGGAACATCCCTTCACTTCCTCTTCTAAAGAAGTAAAAGCAAAATGACATGAAATCTCCCCGTTTTAAACTGTTACAGGAACATTTGTCCCTATTGTCCAATTCCCCTTATATTTTCCTCAGATGACAACCCTACAGTACTGGATTTCCTTCTCACTTTGTCTTTGTGATGATGGTCAACAGGAGAAATAAAGGGGTGAATCTTCCCAATGGGGACAAAGAGCAATACAGACTTGACAGAGGTTCTAACCCTTCCCCACTCCATCCAACACTAAAATCAAACCTCTGCTTTACATACACCTTGAAGCACAGTTGTACTTGGCCTATACAGGACGAAGAAACAGATTTATTGTACAAAGCACGATTAGCTCCCTGTACTTCTCCGCACTCATCGGCTGCACCCATTCACTGTCGGATCACACTGAATTTTCTTTGAAATGAGTTTTTGGAAGTAGAAACCAAACCTGCTACATGGGGTTGAACTGTGAGACAGAGCTGTGTAAATCGAAGGACTGAAAGGACAGCAATACAAATCCTTAGGCAGACAAACAACCATCACATGCATTTCATACGCATGTTCAGTAGTTTGCCTGGAGAAATGTTTAGTAATAACAATCTACAAAACACATACTTCAAGATAAATGGCCGGCTTTCCATTTTTTGCATACCTTATCTATATTTTCTTCCCCATTAAAGCTCACAGTGGTCATTTTAACTAAGGGCAGGTTACTAGATATTCCTATACCTCCTGGCACATCTGACTAGGACATGTGACATCTCTGGGGAGGACAATGCCTTTTCCTGAGATTATATGAGATTACAGATGAGATTTCCCAGCATTGCTCTGCTGATGTAATCTTCCCAGGATGCAATGCTTTGGCACATTACATAATTTGTGCCGGAACTGGACCAGGAAGTGGATGAACTCTATTTGTAAGCAAATTAAAAATATGTTTGTTTAACTAATGAATGTAAGATGATTAAATACCAGCACGCAAAGCTGCATACTGAAGTGATTTTTAGTGAAAGGGGGCAAAGGTCCACTTTAAGGATTAATAAGAATCACATTGTAAAACAACAACGTCTTAAAGTAGTATTAAATTCTCAAAACGTTTTCAGTAATTAATCCAAATCAAAGAAATACACATAGCAGAACAAAGCATTCCTCTACATTTTTGCCCAAACACAATCATAATTTCTGAACAGAGGCTTCCAAGTTTCTCAGCTCTACTACCCTACGCTTCCTGTCCAGTACAAGATCACAAGGGACAGACTCCAGCAACTGTTCATCTACCAGCTTGGAGGGAGGAGTGGAGATCAGGGGAGTGTCTTACCTTGCTGTGTGTGGAGACACACACAGATTACTAGAACACACAAGGGTGTCTCCATGGGAGCCTGCAAAGGAAAGGAGCCACCCAGAACAGTATATCAGGGCCAGTGCTCAGGAGACCAGCTGATTCTACAGGAAACTAAAGCTTTTAAAACATCAAGGAGCAGCATCCAATGTAAGTGATTTCATCAGCATTTGAAATAACCTAAAATAACTTTTCCCTTTAAAGCAGACCTTCACCCATATCTTTAAAATAACAACAAACACACCTTTAGAAATGTTTAGTAATGACACTCTACAAACACATCCTTCTAGATACTTTCCAGCGTTGTATTCTTTGCATACCTTATTTCTCTTTTTTTTCCCCCAGTCTCACAGTGGCCATGTTTACTAAGGACAGATTACTAGCTCTCGTATTACTTCCTGGATTTCTGGCACATGTGACTAGGACATGTGACCATGCACATCATCTCAGGGGAGGAGAATGCCTTTCTCTGAGACCTCCTGAGATTACAGATGAGATATCCCAGCAATGCTCTGCTGATGACAGGCACTCCCAGTGTGCACTGCTTTGGCAAACTGAAGTCATTTGCACTTACATTTGCAGAGTAGTCACTTCCTGCTATGGAAGCATTTCATGAATCACAGCATTTTACTCCTGACATGTCTTATTATTATTATTAATCATCATACATAGGAGGGAGGCATTGGTAGAATTTGATTTTTAAATGTAAAGGTCCACTTTAATGTCCCCAACTGCTGGTTTATACACTTTGTTCAAGTTCTGGAGACGTTCAGCTCGGGATACTACATTATGCTTCAATGTTACTGCAGCAAGCTAAGTTTTCACAAAACAAGTTGCCTCCCTTCCTGCCATTTGTTTTGTTCCCAATGAAGTAGCCATCATAACCCTGGATTTACTATCTTATGTTCTCATTGTCTCTTTTTTTAATTACTAATAATGCTAATAATGAAAGTTAAGAATGTTCACCTACATCTTGTGCATTGATGAAAGTTGTGATATAATTTGGAAAACATCCATTCAGACTCAGAGAGGACGGGCTTTTGGAAGTCTTAAAAGTGACACTAAACTCAGGAGTAAAATCTTAAAAACACATTAATGTGCATGTGGGGTTACCAAGCCAAGTTCTCCTAGCTGACAGCTTGTTCATGAGGAGCTGGGGCCGCACATCCTTGGAGAGGGGGAGAGCCACATTGAAGAAGAACTCAGTCAACCCGAGACAAACTCCATGTTGTCAATAAGGACTCGGAGGTTATTTATAACTGTGTAATGATTGAAAATGAATTCTCACACTCTTCACTTTCCCCAAACCAGAAAACCTAAACCACAGGAAAAGGCTTCAGCACCCAACTTCCCAACATGAACTTCTTCAACTGCAGTGCCTTAAAGTGTAAACAAACACCAAAATAGAATAAAACAGTAAAGCACGCCAAGCTAAAAGTATGATATTAAATCAACGTTGTCACCAATTCTAGAAACAATACAATGAAAAGGGAAGTTACAATCTGCAGTTAACTGATCGCTCTGTCCACATAGGAACATTTATAAGGGCCCATTTCACACCACATCCAGATCATTTCCAGACCAGACCAAAATGGTTTCTAGACCCAAAATGCATCCTAATGTATGCTATTTCTGGCCTCTGTTCACACACATGCAGTCCATTCAAGACCAGAAAAATACTGCATGTCTCATTTTGTCTGGTCTGGAATGCACTGGAACTGCGGACAGGTTCACACCATTTTCCAGACCAAATCTGGTCCTGAAAATTGTGTAGACCTGCCCTTAGACCAGATCAATGTAACCAAATGTAACCAGACCGACAACTCCGCAAAAAGCAGTGACATGGTTTACCAGAGTCACTCATCATCCTGGAATAGACACGTATGAGTAATGTCAGAATTGTAGGTCAATATACAGCGGCCGCCCAATACAAGGTACAGCGGCCGCCCAATACAAGGTACAGGGAGTAATGAACGGAGCACATGCCTTTCATGGCAAAGTTTTCTCTTTATTTACCTTCAGAAATATCTCAAATCTAAAAAGTGCAACTGAACCCAAAACGTTTTTATTTGGGATGGAGTGAAGAGGGATTAGGACCTCTGTCAGGTTTTTACTGCCGTCAGTGTCCCCATTGGTGAGATTCATCGTCTCCATTTGCAATGTAATGCACCTCACTGAACAGATAAGGGCTCCAGAGCTTTTAGTCAAGGTTGATGCCGGGATTATTTTATTTGGTTTACAAGTGAGCTCTCTTGGGATATTGCAATGTCTGGGGCAGCTGGTCCTCAGTTGCTTTGTCTTCTCTAACATTTTAATTGGGAAGGACATGACTCAGCCTGCAACATCTCTGGCCCTTGTAAGCAGAGACACATGGCCTCTAGTTGCTGGCCTCTAGGAGGTCACAGACTGATTTCCATATCAGATGAATATGTAGCCCAGTTCTAGGATCTACACTAGTACTATGTCTAACAGTGCCAAAGATACCAGCAGTAAATGTCTAATGATCTTCTGATTTCACTTTGCTGCATCCTCACAGAGCACCGAGGGCTGGCACGTGAGCAGGGAACAAAAAAAAACACAAAACACATCAGGAAGTTTAGTTTTAAGAAACAGGGGAGCCAAGCATAGTGCATAAAGCTGGACACACATGGATTGAATGTTGGCTGTTTCCTGATGGATTGGCTGAAGTTCAGTCAGTAGGTAGCCCTTCCGGCATCACGCAGCTTGGCAAAAGTCCATTGTTCAATGGAGTTTGGTCGAAGAGTGACTGCAACCAAGCAGCTGAAGTCACTGTTCTGCAATTCTGACAGCCGCAGATGCCAGCTATGTGAATACAATGGCTGGAAATGGAGATCCCATGGAGTGATCTCTTTTTTAGGCCAGAGGGTTGAACATAGAAAATCATAAAGAAGTCTCTCAAAAAATGTTAAACTTTTATTCTATCCTCCATGGGAACATGTGTATGCACCTGACTATGCAAAGCGGAATGGTCCACCTCCGTCAGACCACTCTGCTATCAAGGAGATGGGCGTTTTCAGTGAAATTGCTGGTGTCTGGCAATCTGTGCTCTAGAGGCCAGTGCCGTCATTCACAAGAGATAGCACAGTCCGTGGGCTGTGCGTCTAACTGTGGCTGCCTGAAAATACACAACCCCTAACTGTCCCCTCTGCTCCTCCCAAGACCTCCTGCTCTCCAGCTACCTCGTCAACACCTCCCATGCTCGACTCCAGGACTTCTCCAGAGTATCGCCCATTCTTTGGAACTCCCTACCCCAACTTGTCCATCTATCTCCCATTCTGACTGCCTTTCAGCGATCCCTTAAGCCTCATCTCTTCAGGGAAGCTTATCGCACCTCAAACTAGCCACTGAACCATCACGTTCTCAAACAATTTATCCCCACACAGCTACCTCCTCATGTATCACTTTCCCCTCCCTTTTAGATTGTAAGCCCTCAGGGGCAGGGTCCTCCTTACCATCTTGTCTTCAATTGTATTAGAATGTCTTCCTTTATTCCTTATATTGTCAAGTGCTGCGCAAACTGTTGGCACTATATAAATCCTATACAATAATAATAACCAGTCAGATATATCACAGCCCGGCAGCGATGAGTGAGATTTTATGAGTGAACCATAGGCACTCAGAGCTCTCGACATGCCTGCACGGTAGAGTCTTAATTATGGTATACATGACACAAATTTTGGCCGGTCCATAAGGAAAATTTGCACAGTGCCTGCTTCTGTCAGAACCCTTCCACCCGCCATCCCTCAAATCAGCAGATCAAAGGAACATGTTGCGAAATCTTCGGCCAAATGGAGCTTGCAGCCAATCAGATGGCTGCTGTCAGAATACAATGCCAACAGCAGGGATTTCTCAGCATGGAGGGAGGAATAGGTTATATTTTCTTTGTTTAGCCCGCAGGTTGTATACCAAACTTTAGACTTCTACCTCCATCTGGTAGCCAGGAAACAACCCCAATTAGACATCTATGGGGCTCTACTGTGCAAGAGCAGCCAAGAGAGGTTGCAGGCGTCCGATCTTGGTATAAATGCATCTGTTGAGGAGGAGGGTGGAATCTGTTAGGTCAGGGGAGCTGGGTGAAAAGAATAAGTGTACTCATCCTTTAAGGCAGAGCTGCACAAATCCCAGGAGTCAGGCCGCCAATGCTCCATAAAAAATTACAGCTGGCACCCAACTTCTGAGGTTCTCTAGTTGTGGTCGTCAATGGGGCTGGCTCCTAAAAATAATCTGCTGACTCCTGGACTGGACAGAATGACTCCTGACTTCCATAAGAACTGCTTTAAGGAAGGGGCAAGGATTCTCCCTGCGCTATCTGCAGGATCAGTTACTTCAATATAAAAGATTCACACAACAAAACATTTCCTCCCAATATATAAAAACATTATATGAACATTTTCTATTCAATGCTATTAGAAGCGACCACATGACGCCAAACGACACATGATGAGGTCATAAAAACCGAATGACCAAAGCAGGACAGGGGGGCAATGTTTACACAAGTATCTGTCCTCCGGCCCCTCTTAGGGCCCATTCACACCACATCCAGATTATCTCCAGACCAGACTGTTTCCGGACCCAAAATGCATCCCAATGTATCCCTATGCTATTTCTGGCCTCAGTTCCCACCGGCGCAGTCTGTTCCAGACCAGAAAAATATTGCTTGTCTGGTATGCACTGGAACGCATCAAAAACGTCTGGAATGCACTGGAACACACCTGTAAGACCATTTCAAATTCCAATCGCGGCAAAAATGCAATGCACTAGGTTCCAGATCTGGTCTGGAAAATGGTGTGAACCCAGCCTAACCCAGGACACATTCTGAGATGACAACCCATTTGAACCCGAGACACACTCCATGTTGTCAATGAGGACTCGGAGGTTATTTATAACTGTGCAATTACTGAAAATGAATTCTCACACTCTTCACTTTCCAAAAACCAAAAAACCTAAACCACAGGAAAAGGCTTCAGCACCCAATTTCCTAACATGAACTTCAACTCCAAGTGCCCTTAAAGTGTAAACAAAGACCAAAATAGAATAAAGCAGCAAAGCACGCCGAGCTAAAAGTACGATATTAAATCAACATTGTCACCAATTCTAGAAACAATACAATACAATGAAAAGGGAAGTTACAAATCTGCAGTCATCAGATCACTGCATCCACATAGGAACCACTATAAAAGTGCCCATACACCTTACGATTATCGAACAAAACTTTTCGTCCGATGATCGAACCGTCGCACGACGGCACCATCCTGCCCCGATTATCGCAAGGTTCAATCAGCGGTAGTTAAAAAAAAAAAACCTGGTCGACTTGCGGTAATTGACCGCAATTATTTTCGTTTGTGCATGCGCAGTGTTAATCGTATGACTTTTGACGGACGGAAAAGCCACCAACCATGCGAACATCTTACGATCGACCAAAGTTTTCAAACATGCTTGACTGTCAAAAGTCGTATGATTGTACAGTACTGTTGGTCGGGCACTCTATTCACACGTTACGATTGTCGTACGAAAAGTCGATCGCATACGATTCTCGTAAGATAATCGTAAGGTGTATAGGCACCTTAAGACTAGATCAATGCACAAGTTTAAACAGGCCGAGAACTCTGCACAGACACTCAATCAGTGACATGGTTCACCGGAGTCACTCATCATCCTGTAATATACCAGTATGAGTAATGTCAGACTTCCTGGTCAATGCACAGCGACCGCCCAATACAATGCACAGCGACCGCCCAATACAATGGACAGGGAGCAATGACCTGAGCGCATGGTTTCATGGCAAAGTTCTCTTTATTTACCTCCAGATAAAGTCTAATCTAAAAAAACTGAAGCCAAAATGTTTCGTTTAGTTTTGGATGAAGTGAAGAGGGATTAGGACCTCTGTCAGGTTTTCATTGCCGTGTGTCCCCGATTAGGGAGATTCACCCTCCCCATTTGTCCTGGTGACCATTGTCCTTGAAAGCCCAGTCACACCATATTACTGTATTTTCCCGTGTATAAGACTATACTTTTTCTTTAAAATATTTACCTAAAAATGGAGAGGCGTCTTATACACGGGGGGCCGAGAGGAGAACTGCGGTTGCGAAACTGCCAATACCTCTGCAAACTAGCCTCACGAGTGAAACTTCTGATTGCAGAGACAAGCTAACAGGTTTCCTCCAATCATGAGCCTTATGTACCTGACGTCCACTGATGCTGCGGAGAGCGTGTAGCCAGTGCCCAGATGCAACAGGGAGCCCATAAAAATGTCAGAAAACAAATACCGGTACCAGTAAGCGTCTGTCTTACTCTGCAACATTTAAACTGGATGTAATCTGTTATGCAAAAAAGCATGGAAAATATTGATTTCTGAATTTTGGGTAAGAAAAGTGGGGGGCGTCCTATACATGGGGGCTTAATCCTCCTGTCCCATCGCACTCCTGACCGGACAAATAACAAAATCCAACTGGGTGGGTGCGGTAGTGACAACGGATGCCTCCGTAAAATTCTCAGTCAATAAACAGCATTGACTTTCATGGAGTGCGAGTGACTACTTTCATCTATACATGGGGCGTATTATAGACGGAAAAATACGGCATCTCCAAACCAGATTGTTTCTGGACCCATAATGCATCCTAATGTATCCCTATGGTATTTCTGGGCTCTGTTCACAGTCCGTTCCAGACCAGACCAGAAAAATACCGCATGACTCATTTGGTCTGGTCTGGAATGCATTGGAGCTGCGGGCAAGTTCACAACATTTTCCCACCAGATCTGGTCCGGAAAATGGTGTGAACCTGCCCTGAGAAAGTGAAAGAAAAAATTCACAATTTTGGGTTGGCATCATAACAGGAACAGATGGGAAATCTTCCAACAGATGGGAAATGATCCTGCTGACCAGGGATTTCCTCACTTCCTGCTGGGGGTATCAGACAGGGAGTGAAATCTCCCCATTGGACATATAGAAAATAAAAAAACACATTACATTAAAAGAGAACTATTGGGCAACCTATTTTGTCCATAGTTCTCCCCATACACTAATGTCCTCAGGTGACCCAAAACTCAGTATATAGTGGGCCAGCTATATGCTGAGAGTGCAGAGCTGCACCGCAGCCGGGACGGATCCTGACAATACTGTTGAGAACCACCCCGCCTAGTGATTGACAGCTGGCTCTGCCTATCTAGAGCCACAACCCTCCCGACACCACTGGAGAGAGGGATTCCTCGCCCCATAATTTTTCTTTAAGTAACTATACACACTGATACACCCAACTCATATTAGTCTCTGAACGGCTCACCACACACACCCACATCAGCCACCATTCACATCCAAGTGTTTCGTTGTGTCCGCTCACACCTGAGCATTGTGTCACATGAAAAGAAAACTTCATGTTTATGACTGCAGAGACTTCAATGGGAGTGCGTAGCAAACATTTGTGGCCCCATAGATATCAATGGGAGGAGGCAGTATGTGCTTTTGGCCCCATAAACTTTGATAGAAGCACGCGGCATGCATTTTATGCCCTACAAACTGCAATGGGAGTGCGTAGCAGAAATTTTTTGCCCCTCCTCAGAATAACTAGTTCTTTATTGGCTAAAAGAAAAGTCAGGACAGAGCACCTACAGAACCGTGTGACAATACAGACCAGGAACCCGCCATGGCTGGGAGAGGGTCACACACACCATGTTAATGGAGGGCAATGTAATCCATAGTTAATGATTGTCAGTAAACATCTGTACAAATACTGACAGATTTCGGGGGGTCTAGGGGGAGAGATACTACGAGAACTCCACATTACAAAACCCAAATGCAAGCTGCCACAGGACTCATATACAGGACAGTCATAGAAGAAACCACGTAACATCACATT